CACAAATAGCCACAATTTCCTGCTCAAGACGAGCGTCATTCACCAAGCCTTGTCAATACTTAGCATCGTGACAATGGGCTTTTGCACCTAGCACAATTATTGCTAAGTTTTCCAAGACTCGCATTCCTAACTTCACGCGACGGCCTTGTTAATTATAAAGGTCGTCACCGGGCACATCCTGCGCCCTAGCCTAACTCCGCGAGCTTAGGCAAGGCTACCAGGCTTTCGCCCCACAAGAGTCGTCGCCTAGTTCCGTGAGATTAGGCGAGACCACCAGGCTTTCGCCCTACAAGAGTCGTCGTCTAGCTCCGCGAGCTTAGGCGAGACCACCAAGCTTTCGCCCTACAAGGGTCGTCGCCCAGCTCCGCGAGCTTAGGCGAGACTACCAGGCTTTCGCCCTACAAGGGTCGTCGTCTAGCTCCGCGAGCTTAGGCGAGACCACCAGGCTTTCGCCCTACAAGGGTCGTCGCCCAGCTCCGCGAGCTTAGGCCAGGCTTTTGCCCTACAAGGGTCGTCGTCTAGCTCCGCGAGCTTAGGCGAGACTACCAGGCTTTCGCCCTACAAGGGTCGTCGTCTAGCTCCGCGAGCTTAGGCGAGACTACCAGGCTTTCGCCCTACAAGGGTCGCCGTCTAGCTCCGCGAGCTTAGGCGAGACTACCAGGTTACCAACCTTAGATACATCACACAAGAACATAGTTAAGCTGAAAAAACTTCAAATGCAACTTTATTACTTGTCTTGCTGAAACATAATTGAAAAACAATCAAAAGCAATTAAAAATAATAGGTGCCCAGCTACGCATAATACTTCTTCAAATGCGATATGTTCCATGGTCGCGGTAGTGACCGCCCCTCGCCATCGCGGAGTTCGTAGGCACCCCCTGCGACCATGTGTATTATGCCCCTCTTAACTGGTCTGTCAGATTGCTCATCAGTTCTCCTCGGTTTGTCACCCGACTCTCGCCCCTCCCGACGATCGTCCTGGCGCTCTTTGTCCTTAATCACAAACTCTTTTAAGTGACCAGCTCTGATGAGCCGCTCGATTTCATCCTTCAACTCCCG